AGCCACTCGTCCACAGGATGATACAGGGTACACAGTAAACTAGCCACGGTCGTCCACAGGATGATACAGGGTACACAGTAAACTAGCCACTGTCGTCCACAGGATGATACAGGGTACACAGTAAACTAGCCACCGTCGTCCACAGGATGATACAGGGTACACAGTAAACCAGCCACTGTCGTCCACAGGATGATACAGGGTACACAGTAAACTAGCCACTGTCATCCACAGGATGATACAGGGTACACAGTAAACTAGCCACTGTCGTCCACAGGTTGATACAAGGTACACAGTAAACCAGCCACTGTCGTCCACAGGATGATACAGGGTACACAGTAAACTAGCCACTGTCGTCCACAGGATGATACAGGGTACACAGTAAACTAGCCACTGTCGTCCACAGGATGATACAGGGTACACAGTAAACTAGCCACTGTCTTCCACAGGTTGATACAGGGTACACAGTAAACTAGCCACTGTCGTCCACAGGATGATACAGGGTACACAGTAAACCAGCCACTGTCATCCACAGGATGATACATATAATGGGATTATTTGGTAGTATGGTAGCGGGGAGTAAATGATAAACTCCTTCTTTGGAGGCTTCTTTGTTTATTGTTAAGTAGTGGTGGGTACACAGGCTTGTGTGTTGTGCCCATGGCCCGGGCAGGGCCATCCCACGAGAGAGAGCTAGGGAATACTTGTGTCTTCCTGCCAGGCCGCTGTGAGAGTGAGAGCGAGGCAAGGGCAGACAGGCTGAAGTAGCAATGCCTATAGGTGGCAGCACCAGCATGGCACAAAATTTGAACTAAGCTGGCAGACAGCATAGGCTGTCTGTGCAGACAGTACAGGCTGTCTACATATGCTCGGCCACCTACCGCGCGTCGTCCCGATGCGACGATACTGGTGGTAAAAGGAACTCGGTCTCTCTCTCGTAGGAACAGGGCACTGAACACAAAATAAAACATATATATACATATGAACATGGAAAAAAAACTTCCTACAGGGATGGAAGAAAAAAACATGTGGGGTGTGCTAAACATCGTGGTCATAGGCAGTGAGCATCGAAGGGCATCACTGCACGCCTTCCTGCGTCTGGACAGATACTGCAACACAGGAGACATCGCTGCAGCTGAGCTGTGACTTAACAGGTTACGGTCTCCTCTGGAACGGTGAAGCAGTCATCGTAGGAGTAGGAGTCGCTGCAGGTTTTCACTCAACCTGGGGCACATGCTGGTGCCCTCGAGTGAGGCGTCGACAAAACTCGGCAACTGGGCAGGACTTATGGCAAGCGACTCAGGACACTTCTCGACTGGTACTGTCGCTGGACTGTCACTGCCGGCGAGCGTGGAGCGAGTTGTGGAGCGAGTCATGGCAGAGACGACTGGGCGTAACATCATACACCAGACTGCAGTGAGCGAGCTAGCAGTCAAAGTGACATCTTCTTTGTGCAGGCTGCTCACTGAAGCTTGTGACACGAGGCTGACACAGCGCCTGCCAACAGGGCTGACTGCGGCTTGACGAGTATCATTCTCTCGGCAGTTGGAGTTATAGCAGAGGTTAGTCTAAGTGTCCCCAGACTTGTTTCTCTACATATAACTGCACTCTGACGGTCTGGAGGTGAAGTGAACAAATCTCGATGGGAATCGTAGCAGGTACGATTCTGCAGAACATCACGAGCGACGAGCATAAAAGCTTTCTGTACAAGAGGGCTCGGTCACTCGGGGCTGTCTTGACATCAGCTGTCATACGCACTGGTCACATCGGGTGACTTAGCACAGTGGTGCTACTCAGGTCTGGCTCAGACCTCACTGGTCACACGGAAACTTTAAACACACCCGCGGTACATGCGGTACAACATGGCTTAACTAGCAAATGATGCTTTTCTGTGCATAAAACTGACTAAGACATACTAAAATGTGAGAACACTGACTGAGAGGAATTAACACACGACATATATCTTCTCTTAGTCTTCTCAACAATATTTTAATAATTACTGAACACTCGATGGTGACATCATGTGATGTCAGGCGTGATGACGTCAGCAGCACTGTGACATCAGCAGACATCTCGAGGTGACGTCATTCAGACATCGTGAGGTGATGTCAGCAGACATCGTGACGTCATGAAATCGGCCAGCATCGTCGGTGACGTCAATGTGATGCGGGCAGCAGACCACAGCATGTGGCCTGGGACATCTGGTAACTCACGTGGCTGGTAGATCCACGTGACATTGCCCACACCCACGTGGCGTCGTGATCCACGTGGCATCGTGATCTACATGGCATGTTGATCTACGTGGCTTGCTGATCTACGTGGCATGCTGATCTACGTGGCTTGATGATCTACGTGGTATGCTGATCCACGTAGCTTCGAGTGGCCTCGGGTACTCGGATACACAGCTCTGGCAATGAATCACACGAAAAACAGCAGAAAACACAGCAGAGGGAGTGGGCAGTGGTGAGTGGTGTATGGTAGGCTGGTGAGGTGTGAGAGTACAGCAGGCCGAGGCAAGGAGCTGTCACTTCCTCCTCCCACAAGCACGTGGAGAACTCACACTGGATGCAGAAATCGCCACAAAACTCACCTCTGGCTTGCTGAAACAGCTGTGCTGAGCTGAACAACAACAGCAACATACAAGTGACGCTGAACACATGACTTGAGAAACAGCGTGGGACGCTGCAGCGTGGGGTCACTTACAATTCTCGGAGAATTTCGGCAAATTTCGGCTGGATCCTGCTTGTACCTGTGTCTGGATGCTCAAACGTGCAGACACGACATCAGGATAACTCGTTGAGAGACGGATGCTTGTTGTATGGGATGAAGTGAAGATGACTTCATACCTCTCCTTCCTCTCTCAGGGCTAACACAACTGCTGCGACCACCGCTTTCCACCATTTATAACGGGATTATTTGGTAGTATGGTAGCGGGGAGTAAATGATAAACGTCTTCTTCGGAGAGCTAGGGAGTACTTGTGACTTCCTGCTAGGCCGCTGTGAGAGTGAGAGCGAGGCAAGGGCAGACAGGCTGAAGTAGCAACGCCTATAGGTGGCAGCACCAGCATGGCGCGAAATATGAACTAAGCTGGCAGACAGCATAGGCTGTCTGTGCAGACAGTACAGGCTCTCTATATATTCTCTTCGGAGGCTTCTTACTTTATTAAGTCATGGTGGGTACACAGGCTTGTGTGTTTGTGCCCATGGCCCAAGCAGGGCCATCCCACGAGAGAGAGCTGGGAGTACTTGTGTCTATCAAGTCGGTCGGCCTAGGAGTGAGAGCGAATGGGCTCAGCCTCCCACTGACCTGGGTGAGCCTACAGAGGGCAGCACCTAAATGCCGCGAAATATGAACTAGTCAGAGCAGACGGCTAGGCTGTGTGTTCTGACAGTACAGGCTGTCTACATTTGCTCGGCCATGCACCTCGCGTCGTCCCGACGCAACAATACTGGTGGGCCCGCAGGAATAAAGGAATTACTTACACTAGCTACCCCAGAGAGGGACTGGCTTTCACTCACTAGTAAATCAAAAATGGACATAAAAATGCAACAGGCAAAAAAAAAAAACTCTCCCATCCAGGGGAAGAGAAAACTGGTTTGCCCGCGCTGTTTCATCGAGGAGAGAGTCCGGAGACGTCAGCACTGGAACTAAAATCTTCTATATACAGGTTGTCTACATACAGGGTACACAGTAAACTAGCCACTCGTCCACAGGATGATACAGGGTACACAGTAAACTAGCCACTCGTCCACAGGATGATACAGGGTACACAGTAAACTAGCCACTGTCGTCCACAGGATGATACAGGGTACACAGTAAACTAGCCACTGTCGTCCACAGGATGATACAGGGTACACAGTAAACTAGCCACTGTCGTCCACAGGATGATACAGGGTACACAGTAAACTAGCCACGGTCGTCCACAGGATGATACAGGGTACACAGTAACTAGCCACTGTCGTCCACAGGATGATACAGGGTACACAGTAAACTAGCCACTGTCATCCACAGGATGATACAGGGTACACAGTAAACTAGCCACGGTCGTCCACAGGATGATACAGGGTACACAGTAAACCAGCCACTGTCGTCCACAGGATGATACAGGGTACACAGTAAACTAGCCACTGTCGTCCACAGGATGATACAGGGTACACAGTAAACCAGCCACTGTCGTCCACAGGATGATACAGGGTACACAGCAAACTAGCCACTGTCGTCCACAGGATGATACAGGGTACACAGTAAACCAGCCACTGTCGTCCACAGGATGATACAGGGTACACAGCAAACTAGCCACTGTCGTCCACAGGATGATACAGGGTACACAGTAAACTAGCCACTGTCGTCCACAGGTTGATACAGGGTACACAGTAAACTAGCCACTGTCGTCCACAGGATGATACAGGGTACACAGCAAACTAGCCACTGTCGTCCACAGGTTGATACAGGGTACACAGTAAACTAGCCACTGTCGTCCACAGGATGATACAGGGTACACAGTAAACTAGCCACGGTCGTCCACAGGATGATACAGGGTACACAGTAAACCAGCCACTGTCGTCCACAGGATGATACAGGGTACGCAGTAAACTAGCCACTGTCATCCACAGGATGATACAGGGTACACAGTAAACTAGCCACTGTCGTCCACAGGATGATACAGGGTACACAGTAAACCAGCCACTGTCGTCCACAGGATGATACAGGGTACACAGTAAACCAGCCACTGTCGTCCACAGGATGATACAGGGTACACAGTAAACTAGCCACTGTCGTCCACAGGATGATACAGGGTACACAGTAAAACCAGCCACTGTCGTCCACAGGATGATACAGGGTACACAGTAAACTAGCCACTGTCGTCCACAGGATGATACAGGGTACACAGTAAACTAGCCACATCGACTGCAGAATCAAATCTGTCTGCTTCCCGCATTATAATCAAACACAGCTGTGAGTGTACCTTATTTTTCCTCTTTTTTATCTTCGTGCATTGCAGGAGGGGCAGGCGGAGGCACAGCAGCAGCAGCAGCAGGAGGAGGAGCAGCAGCAGCAGGAGGATAGCACCTCCACGCCCACTCCACCCACAGGAACACCACCTACTACCACCCAGGCTCCAGAACCCAGCTCCTACGTCTACATCACCATCAAAGGAAGGTGAGAGAGAGACAGAGAGACAGAGACAGACAGACAGACAGTCAGAGACAGAGACAGACAGACAGAAACACAAACATACAGAGACAGAAACTGAGAGAGAGAATATTAAAAAGAGATACAAGTAACAAGGAAGCGATATCTACCAAATTATTGTTGTAGTTTAATAATTTATTATACACTCCTGTGTTTTAAGAACATAAGAACATAACATAAGAAGAACATAAGAATGGAGGAACACTGCAGAAGGCCTACTGGCCCATACAAGGCAGGTCCTTATCAAAGAAAGAAGGAACACTGCAGCAGGCCTGCTGGCCCATGCGGGGCAGGTCCATGTCAACCTACACAACGTTTTAGCTTCCATGACAGTACTCGGGAGTTTGTTCCACTCATCCACAACTCTATTACCAAACCAGTGCTTTCCTATATCCTTTCTGAATCTGAATTTTTCCAGCTTGAAACCATTGCTGCGAGTCCTGTCTTGGCTAGATATTTTTAGCACGCTATTTACATCCCATTTGTTCATTCCTGTTTTCCATTTATACACCTCAATCATATCCCCCCTAATTCTACGTCTTTCTAGAGAGTGCAGTTTCAGGGCCCTTAGTCTATCCTCATAGGGAAGGCTTCTGATACATGGGATCAACTTTGTCATCCTCCTCTGTACGTTTTCCAGAGCATTTATATCCATTCTGTAATACGGTGACCAGAACTGTGGAGCATAATCTAAATGAGGCCTAACCAAGGATGTATAGAGCTGAAGAACAACCTGAGGATTTATATTATTCATGCTTCTTGATCTGAAGCCAAGGATTCTGTTAGCTTTATTGCGAACGCTTAGGACTGTTGTCTTGGTTTCAGATTACTGCTAACCAGAACTTCTAAATCCTTTTCACAATCAGTAATATTAAGATCTACATTATTTAGTTTATATGTGGCATGGTTATTTTCCTGTCCAACATTTAGAACTTTGCATTTGTCTATTTTAAACTGCATCTGCCACTTCTCCGACCATTGCATCAGTCGATTCAAATCATCCTGGAGTGCTCTGATGTCCTCATTAGAGCACTACTACAATGCAGTGTATTGCATTGTAGTAATGCAGTGTATTGTAGTGCAGTGTAGTGTGTATCTGATAAGATGAGGTCAGTGTATGAGTATATTATCAGTATTAAGTATTTTCTACTTTAGGATAGGTCAGGATAGGTTAGGCCAGGATACTCTTAGGTCAGGATAGGTTAGGCCAGGATAGGTCAGGCTAGGATAAATTAGGTCCAGTTAGTGCAAGTCATGCTGGGTTAGGTCAGGATAAGTTATGTCAAGTTAGGTTAAGTCATGCTAGGTTAGATCATGTTATATAAGGTCAAGTTAGGATAGTTAAGGGTAGGTTTGGTTAGCATAGGTTAGGTTACGTCAGGTTAAGTTAGGTCATGTTAGGCTAGGTTAGGTCAGGTCAGGCCAGATTAGGTTAGGTTAGGATAGGTTACGTCAGGTCAGATTAGGTTAGGTAAGGTTAGGTTAGGTCAGGTCAGGTCAGATTAGGTTAGGTAAGGTTAGGTAAGGTTAGGTTAGGTTTGGTTAGGTTAGGTTAGGTTAGGTTAGCTTAGGTTAGGTTAGGTAAGGTTAGGTTAGGTAAGGTTAGGTTAGGTAAGGTTAGGTTAGGTAAGGTTAGGTTAGGTTTGGTTAGGTTAGGTTAGGTTAGGTTAGGTAAGGTTAGTTTAGGTTAGGTTAGGTAAGGTTAGGTTAGGTAAGGTTAGGTTAGGTTAGGTAAGGTTAGTTTAGGTTAGGTTAGGTAAGGTAAGGTTAGGTTAGGTTAGGTAAGGTTAGGTTAGGTTAGGTAAGGTTAGGTTAGGTTAGGTTAGGTTACGTTAGGTAAGGTTAGGTTCGGTTAGGTTAGGTTAGGTAAGGTTAGGTAAGGTTAGGTTAGGTTAGGTTAGGTTAGGTTAGGTAAGGTTAGGTTAGGTAAGGTTAGGTTAGATAAGGTTAAGTTAGGTAAGGTTAGGTTAGGTTAGGTTAGGCAAGGTTAGGTTAGGTTAGGTTACGTTACGTTAGGTAAGGTTAGGTTCGGTTAGGTTAGGTTAGGTAAGGTTAGGTTAGGTAAGGTTAGGTTAGACTGTGTACCCCCACATATAGCTTCTCAGGTTTATACTTCGTACACTACCATTCAGAATATATATATATATAATATCCCAGGCGATATTATCTACATTTAAGGAAGTTAAAACGTGACAGCTCAAATAAGCCGCACATAGGAGAAAGAAGCTTATGAGAACTTGTATCACTGACGAGTCACACAAACCCACGAAGGAAAGGGAGCCAGTGTATATACACGAGAGGTATTATACCTTCTTCTTTATTATAATGATGATTTGAGAGGTAACCTGAGTGTCATCTGTGTGGTGGTTTTGTTCCAGGTTCCTGGAGTGGGAGCAGGCTAGTAACTTGGCTAGGATGGTCGTCCGGCTGTCTGGCCTCCAACCTGAGGATATGGATAAGCTGAGGTAAGTATCTACATCCCTGTTTTTCTGTGTGGGTACTTTATATATATATATATATATATATAATATATATATATATATATATAATATATATATATATATATATTATATATATATATATATATATATATATATAATATATATATTATATATATATATATATAATATATATTATATATATATATATATTTCAACAAGTCGGCCGTCTCCCACCGAGGCAGGGTGACCAAAAAGAAAGAAAATGCCCCAAAAGAAAATACTTTCATCATTCAACACTTTCACCACACTCACACATTATCACTGTTTTTGCAGAGGTGCTCAGAATACAACAGTTTAGAAGTATATACGTATAAAGATACACAACATATCCCTCCAAACTGCCAATATCCCAAACTCCTCCTTTAGAGTGCAGGCATTGTACTTCCCATTTCCAGGATTCAAGTCCGGCTATATAAAATAACCGGTTTCCCTGAATCCCTTCACTAAATATTACCCTGCCCTCAACACTCTCATCAGCTCGTCTAAATCCCCAAATAACCCAATTGCTAAGTCCAGCCCTTGCCCACAAACCTCCACCACGCTTGCTGAAGTATAAGTTTAAAAACTCTTTATTAATCCCTATATATATATATAATATATATATATATATAATATATATATATATATATATATATATATATATATATATTTAATATATATGTCGTGCCGAATATGTAAAACTGGTCAATTAGCAAGAACTCATTTAAAATTAAGTCCTTTCTAAAATTTTCTCTTACACGTTTAAAGATATATTTTTTTCATTAATGTTAATGTAAAAAATTATAATTTTGCTCCAAAAGAATCTTAGAAAACTTACCTAACCTTATTATAACAAGAACAATTTATTTTAGCCTAACCCAACTAAATATATTTTAGATTTGTTTACAATAAATTAATACTAAACAAACACAGTGAAATATATATTTTTCGTTAGGTTCAGAATGATTTTGGCGAAATTATTGCATACACAAATTTTCACTTGTCCTATATGGCTAGATGAGCGTTGCTATTTAAGCCAAGATCGCAAGTTCTGCCTATTCGGCACGACATATATAATATATATATATATATATATATATATATATTATATATATATATATATATATATATATATATAATATATATAATATATATATATACAACAATTCGCAAATAGGCGAAATTTTGCAAACATTATATCTCAATTCACAGCAGGATTCGAACCTACACACTCTGCATTTCTTTCTTTTTCACTGTATGTGGCAGAATTTGATGAAATAACCTATCAGTGGCCTGGTGACCTGGGGGTATAAGAGTGACCGCTTAGCCTAGGCTAGGCTCACATACTTATCTGGGATCTGGCCGAATGGAGAAATTACTACGCTCTTTGATGCTGTGGACAGATGCAGGGTGACCTCCCCTCCCCCCCCCCAAAAAAAAAAAGCTTATCTTTTTACATTTAGTAATATATACAGAAGAAGAGGTTACTAGCCTCTTGCTCCCGGCATTTTAGTCGCCTCTTACAACACGCATGGCTTACGGAGGAAGAATTCTGTTCCACTTCCCCATGGAGGTAAGAGGAAATAAACAAGAACAATAACTAGAAAGAAAATAGCAGAAAACCCAGAGAGGTGTGTATATATATGCTTGTACATGTATGTGTAGTGTGACCTAAGTGTAAGTAGAAGTAGCAAGACGTACCTGTAATCTTGCATGTTTATGAGACAGAAAAAAAAGACACCAGCAATCCTACCATCATGTAAAACAATTACAGGCTTCCGTTTTACACTCACTTGGCAGGACGGTAGTACCTCCCTGGGCGGTTGCTGTCTACCAACCTACTACATATGAGCATATCCGTGCGGTTAGCAAGATTACCGGGAGTGTGGAATTACCGGGAGTGTGGGATTACCGGGAGTGTTGGATTACCGGGAGTGTGGGATTACCGGGAGTGTGGGGTTACCGGGAGTGTGGAATTACCGGGAGTGTGGGATTACCGGGAGTGTTGGATTACCGGGAGTGTGGGATTACCGGGAGTGTGGGATTACCGGGAGTGTGGAATTACCGGGAGTGTGGGGTTACCGGGAGTGCGATATTACTGGGAGTGCGGGATTACCGGGAGTGCGGGATTACCGGGAGTGTGGGATTACCGGGAGTGTGAGATTACGGGGAGTGTGTTATTACGGGGATTGGTGTATGCTGGGGATTGAGAATGCGTGTCATCCTGGTCATCAGCTAAGACTCCTATTGTTGACATTACTGCGTCTTGACATATCAGCACTTAACACTTACATACTGAGACAATGCAGCACACACACTGTGGGCAGCT